ATTTAGTATTTGTGAAAAAGTCAAAACTTATGTATAAAAAAAGATATAGATCTTCACTTTGCTTATGTATCTAAAATACTCAACAAATACCAGAAAACATTCTAACAAGAATAAAAATATAGAGCATTCAACGCACTATCCTATGACATATGACGCAACTTTTTCCGCATGCAATCAAATCTAAATAACCAGTGACGCTTTTGAAAATCAAACTGAACAATATTATTCCTATTTTTGAATCAATTTCCAACAGACGTGCTTTCACTATAACTTTTCTTGAATAAGAAACATGAAGTGAAAAATTGTCGGTGAATGTATCTTGCTTAGTTCTACTAGTAGCGCAAATTTCATCGCATTTGGAGAACTCTTTCCTGAACCATGATGTGTTTTGACCACAAAAAAACAGAATTGTGTTTTTGATTATGATTAAACAGTTAATTATTCTTTTGATTGCGTATACATTCTCATTTGCATGCAACATTGAGTCAGCTATATATTATAGAGAATATACATGATATGAAGAAACAAATCATACTTACTCTAGCTTAGGTAATAGTGAAATTGCATAAAAAACAATGCATTTGCATAGAAATCAATTGAAAAGGTGATTTCAACAAATATACAGATCCTAACATTTTGTATAAAGATGTCTAATATTAATTTTACAAAAAAGTACGAAATTTTCAATTTGTGTATCCTGAGTATTTTTATATTTAATTGACAAGGAATGCTATGTTCGTAGATTTAAAATAAAAACATATACTGCTACTACATGAATATCATGCTTCGTTACAGAATTTATTTAATTTGCACTTCTAATACGAGCCTTATTTGAGAATTTGCTTTAAAGGATTTAACATGTGCTGTTGAACGGATAAGAACAATATAAGACGGCTGAAAAAGTTGCTCTTAGTTTCCGCATTTCAATGGATCTTGTAGCGCTGCAATAGGAAATTATAAAAATGAAAGAATAGTCAAATTTTCAAGTTATCGGTTGAGTTCGAAATCAATATTTTTCTAACAACCTTCGCCAGTGAAAAGCGTTCACAACTGATAGCTGTTTCTGGAAAAAAAGGTTTTTTTCCAGCAAAAAAAGTTTTTGAAACTCCATGTTATATGTTCAATTAGTGCTTAATGATCTCTCTACAAAAGCATGTTACATAAAACAGATTATTAGACATGATGGCAAAAAACTTCATTGAACGAATGTGTATTTGATGTAGTTTTCACTTAATACCAATGTTCATTCATTATTTGACTCAGGGATACGTATTTTTATGATATGTTGAGCATCAATAAAAGACTTAAATTTTTATCATTATGCTGCATTTCTTATTTATAATAAATATTTTAATTATATAAAAAAAAGAAAAAGAAATTCAATATATTCTACGATAAGAACGGAAAAAATTACATAATAATTGTTGTTAAAATCTACTTTCAGCGACAAAGAACAAGTTATTTGAATTCGAGTTCAGTTTTTTAAACAACTCGACACACTACCAATTTTTAGATGATACTATTAGAACGAAATTTCATAGTTAATGGTAACGGGAAAATATTTGACAAAAAAAGTTTTTATTTGTTTAATATGTTTAGTGAGAATTTTTTTTTTCATTATCATCTAGAATGATGTTACAAAAAAGAGCTTAGCGATGACTCATCATCAAATGACTGTCATGTAGTATTTCGAAAAGAACGAAAAACAAATAGTCACTGATAAGAAGTTCGTTTGAAAATCAAACAGAAAAGAACAGATAGAGAAGAGAAAAATAAACATAACCTAACGTTGTTTCATGTCCTTTTTTTTTTTACATTTGAATATTTATCGGCTTCAGATACAACAAAAGTGAATTTATTCAACACTAAATTCTTCTATCTTTATCATTTTCAAGCATTGAAACAGCACTATCTTCTTGTCATATCAAAAGAATTATAATTAGACAATTTTGAAATTAAAAAGAATGTCATCAACTGAAGCATCGGCTATTAAATCAGATTCGGATATCGAACGTCTTATACTTCGCCCACAACGACCACCACCACCGCCACCCACACAATCTGAACCTTCAATTCCCATGGACTTGAAGAGAGTATCTTTTGAATGTATGTTTAAATTATTTCTCTGTTTACTGCTCATCTCTATTTATCTATAATTATAGTTGAGACTACATCTTCATCAACAGATATATCCAATGAATCTAACAAAGATGTAAAAGATAATCAATCATCATTTCTGTAAATTGCTAGACGCAAAAATTTTCTTCTTTGTACAACATTTTTCTTTTTATTCATAGGTTCGAATTCAAAGATCTATTCGATTCATTTGATTATGAAATAATTCGTAATAAAATTTTAAGTCGACAGATGACAACGTGTCCATTTACTACTGTTTTATGGCGTATATTTTTACATTGTTTACCACGTGACTCCAGTCAATGGAATCAAATAATTGATGCATCACGTGATCATTATAATGAACTTGTTGATAAATATCTTCTTGATTTAAGAAAAATCCGAGAAAATAATGGTAAATCAAAAGATCTCAATCATCCACTTTCTCAAGAAGAAAATGTAATGATATAATCGAATAAAAATCATTATCCTTTTCATAATATATATATATATATTTTAGAGTCTTTGGAATCAGTACTATGTTTATGAGGAGCTCAAAGAAAATATTTATCAAGATGTTATACGAACGTAAATAATTAAATTAACTAATTTCTTTGTTTCTTTGCAAAATTGTTCTGCATTTTTTAGTTGTCAAGAAATAGCGTTTTTTCGACAAAAATACGTTCTTGATCTTTTATTAAGTATTTTATATATTCATAGTCGACATTACGGACAATCCTTACCCTATCGACAAGTAAATAAAATAAAATAAGTTTTCTTTGATATTAATAAAATTTTAGGGTATGCATGAAATTCTCGCTGTTATTGTTTATTTAATTCATTTGGAAAGTATAACAGTAAATGAATATTCTGAATCGAATGAATTAATGAAAAAACTTTATGATCCAGTATATCTTGCTCATGATTCTTTGTAAGTGTTATATTCATTTTTCTTATGTAATTTTTAATATTAATTTTCATTAGCGCAATTTATGAGAAAATTATGGAACATCTTCAACCATTTTATGATTTTAAATCAAATAACTTAGGCATACGTAAAGTAAGAAATGTTCTAGTTTTTCAAATATAATCTTTTTGTTTTGAATACAGAATATCAATATAAATGTTAATAAACATCTACCATTTCAACGATCACATGATGTACAAGTTCAAATGAATGATACGGTCATGAGAGTGAACTCTATTTTTGAACGTTTAAAAAACTATGATTTGGAGTTGTATGATAAACTTCAAAATTTAAGCATTGAACCGACAGTCTACGGCATGTAAGAAACACTGCTAAGGATGAGTCTCAAAGAAATAAATATTTTTAAATCTTGTAGAATAGAAAAAGGAAAACTCAGTTTGACTTTATTTCATTTGTGAGGCGAATAACATGTTGCAATATTTTATAAACAAATTTTTTCAAGCAGATATTTTATAATTTTTAAAATATGATCAATTAATCGAAGAGATCCCATTCTAAAAAATCGATCTTGGCCTGATTACATTCAAATCAGATGAAATTTTCAAGAATATGTTGAAGCTGTTAGTTGATTTGACAACCCGAAATTCTCTGATGGCCTTCATTCTATTGACTTAGTTTCTTTTTTGTCTCAAAATGCATGTCAAGATAGATATTGTGGTAGAGCCCTTTTTTAATGATAGCATCAAAGCTTAATTCAAAAGACGCTTCTGTCATGTCTTGCATGTTGACATAGCCTTTAAAACAAAAGAAAACAGCCATTGACTACTAGGAAGATCCTTCGAGAACTCTGGGATACACTATTATAAAAAAACATGAACAGAGAGAAAGCAAAAAACGGTTTTCTACTTTATTCGAAAAAAACCTTAAGTTATCTTTATCTGCATTTATCTTAATGTTTATGTTTTCCATGAAAAATGATTTTTTTTCCAGGTGAACAGAGAAACTCAATCTACACTGATTTTGAAATATTTTAGTAGATTGAAAGAGTTTCCTATTTGAAAACAATATGTTTTTCTTTTTCTTTTTTATTTTATTTATACAGACGTTGGCTTCGACTTCTATTTGGACGTGAAGTTCCCTTTGGTTCTATTCCAAGTAATACAGTGCTAATCAATTATATCAGATCAATGTATTTTTCAGCTTTTGTTTTCTACGATATCAAGTCTTTAATTCAAATCAAACTAGTCATTTGAATAGTCAGTCAATTTTTCTATCAAAGGTATTTCATATTGAAGTTACATGGATGGATTGTGCGAGACAGACTTCTGAAAACCCAAATTAGCAGTTCTATGATAAATTTCGATTTTTCTCATATTTTTTATAACGCTTATAACTTTTTATAGAAAGGTCATATAAAATGCAGCAACTTCCTGATTTTATTTAGAACTTTGTGCCCTTTAACTTGGTATACTTAAAAACTAATTTTCATTCAATCAACTGAGACCTTAAACCTACGATGTTCAGTATTCTAGAAACCTTTTCCTTATGGTTCATCAATGAAGTTTCAGTGCGAAATGCGTTTGACTGAGAACTGCATTGACTATTCAACCTATTATTTGGATTTGAATTAATCATTCGAAATCATTGAAAATAGAGTGAAAAATGCGTGAATTTTAATGTTCTTTAATCTGCAGTTCATATATCATTTGAAATAATCCTATTTCTCTATTTGAGGTCTATGGACAGTAATATTTTGTTATGATGAGTGTTTTAAATTTGTTAATTACTTTTTTCTTGCACTGTTGATGGAAATTGGACGAAAATGTATGTTATTATATTTTATTATAATTATGTCGTTAGAAAAATTCTTGTTTTTTAGTTCAAACACATGGTGTCTTAGAATATAGTTGTTGTTTACAATATCTCATGCAACCCAATGTTATTTCTAATGTTGAAAATGTCATTCAAAATGCGCTTAGCTTAGAAAAATATTCTCGAACTAAACAATTTCAACGTTCATCATCAAATATTTCTTCAGAATCAACGCAAAATCGTTCAGTTATAACAGATGTACAAAAGTCTACATCACCTATACAAAGTTTTTCACTAAACCCTCTAATAGATTCAATAAAAAGCAATTCTACAAGTCGATTAATGTCATTATCCCAAATGTCAAAACCTGCTTCTTTTAATCCACCAAAAGATTCTGAAATGGACGTATGAATTTTATTAAGTTTAATTATTATTATTATTATTATTCACATTTATATATTTATTATAGATCTGTCCTGGAAAAGAAACACGTCAACAATTTGATAATAATGTTCAAATACAAAAGTATTGTGCTGAATTTATGAATAAGTTTATTAGTATATAATCTTTTCTACATAAATATATATATATATATTGAAATCATCATATTTATATTCTCATTAGATCGAATACAAAGTCGTATATGTGATTTACAAGTTCCAAATGAAGAAGTATTGATTCAATTGAATGGCTTGAAACAAGTATATCTATAATATTTGATAAATTGCATATTGATATTTGATTCAAATTCTTAATTTTTAGATTGCTAATATATTGGAAGGCAAATTAATGTATGATGATCATTCTCTTCAAGCTCTTCTCAATTATCAATGTAAAGAAAAATCGGTTGAAAATGATATTAATGATACAGCTTGATTTATGATAACGATGGAGTTTATTGTCGATATGTGATTGTTTTGTTTTGTTTTTTTTTTCTTTAAAATACTTTCTAATATAATTAAATACCATTATTTTTCTGTCATTGGCTCATTGATATAAAAATAAACATTGTAAAAAAAACAATACTGATAAGGAAACCTTTCCAGATGTCAAGTCGCTTTTCGACTGAAATGACGCTTATGTGGTTACTAATAGAAAAGTTTATCATTTCTTTGTTTTTATAGCCGTCGCTCTTTAGATATCAAAATTCTACTGGATTTTGTCAACAAAATAGCTGTGGTCCCCCTTCGATCACGAGAGAGTTTCGACTTTAAACTTTTTACACACAAAGCTCTCAATGAGATTAGTTGATTGTGCAACTAGTGTTTTCTTTTTGGAGATATAAGTATATGAACAAAATCTGTCTTTTATACATGAGAGAACTTCAAATATTGAATATCTCAGGATAGAAGATACTTGAAAAATTACAATTTACCCAATGAACTAATCTCATTAAAAACTTCATTCTTATAAAATTTGAAGTCGAAAGTCAACTTTCCACGTAACTTAGATGGACTACAGCTTATATCCACTTGTACTCATTGAATAAACATTGTCTCAGTCACAAAGCGATTTGATATCTGAAAAGGTTTCTCGTGAGTCAGACATAATCAAAATCGATTAGCACAATATCTATTTGATACGAATTCTAATGAGAATTGTTTCATTATTTCCATATTAAGTATTAATACATTCAGACTAATAATAAAACTTTTCTATAGTTAAGAATTAAATAGAATAATGAAGGTTAGTTTGGAAAGAACTAAATGATAAAAACATCTTATTAAACTACATGTTCCACTAGTATCTTTTTCGAAGAGTTCCTTTTGAATTTTTACATGATATTGGTTTTGGTTCACAATTCTAACATCTGATTACATCAAACACGACAAGAGAAAAATTTGTAACTCATGATTCATTTTTACATAGTAACCCTGTCAAGGTTTGGTCACATTTGCATGTGATTAATAATTATGATCTTATCAACTTGTACTTTTTCTTGTTGAATGAACAAGACAGCACAATTTGTACTTTGCGTGATTGCAAATACATTTCATTAACACGCTGGCTCCAACAGTGACTGTGACTACTACTACTACTACTACAACTACAATTGTAATATTCAGTTTGGTATGATCAATAAACATGTTCTTTCTCTTTCTCTTTTGTTCGATTCTTTTGTCTGTGTTAATGAAAAGCTTGTTGTACCAGCTGGCAAAAGGGGAACAATATACACATCGATGTAAGTATGAGAACAGTATTAAATTGATCATATTATATTGATTACTTTGATTTGTATATTTATAAAAACAAAAAAAAAGACTTAACATATGATAGAATGTGATGATAGGCGAGTGACTTTTATGTACGTCTCTTTTTAGTATATACATGTCAAAAGATTATTATTGAACATTATGATTGTTCTATGTATATAGTATATTAAATGACTATTCCAATCATCATTGTTAGTAGCCGTCATTTCTTTTAGCAAAGTCTATGAGATACATATATGTTTTATTGCTACTCATCATATATTCGATATATGATTATATTGACGCATCATGTGCTGGTCGGCTCGTTTCGTTTATTCAGCATAATGACAGATGGTAAGCCACTTGAGAACAACAATGAGATTGAACACTCTTCCTTACAGCTATTCTTCGCCTGTTGCTTCCTCATTTAAACAACTATTCATTCACGTTTAACATCAATGATCATCATCATTATCATTAACTGAAGTAGTCATAAAAAAAAAAGAAACAATGAAACAAAAATGACTATTTGCGTATGTATTCTTGCAACGTAATCTTCTACATAACTCTAATTTCTTACCTATAAAGAATGATATGTACAAATGCTTACTAACATATCTTACTTGAACATATACATATATAGTGATCAATCATCTATTTCCTTCTTAATCTTTTTTCCTACAGTAACGGTACTTACAAATATTAAAGTATGGCCCAACACACGCAAATATTGTTCTTTGTTTTTTTTGTGCACACAAAGTGTTAATGATCATATTCATTGTTACGAAGGAAACGTGCACGCAACCTTATCACAATAGAAGTGTTAACTGTATTGGATGATAGAAAACGTCGGCAATCGACTTCCGTCTTGACATAAGCAGCGTGCTATTTTTCCATTAAAATAATCATCTAATATTGCCGCACATCGTCATTATCATCTCATCGCCGAGTCATTAAACCGAAGCAACAGCAGTTGCGGCTTCTGTTTATGTATACTCTGTTACCAATCGCGTCTATCTGTATGTAGAAGAGAGCAGCTTTTCGTTGTTTCTCCTCTCTCTTCATTCTTCCTCATGTCAAATATTCATCTCTCATACGTATATATATATATGTATGCATTGATTGAGCGTTGTTGGTACCGTCAACAAGAAAATGAAGACGTGCGTGTGTACATACGTATATTCTCCTTCGACAAATAGTGTACCACGATCGATCTCTTTTTAGGTTACTACATAATGGATAAATTATACTGATGAACATAGACATACATCAGGAATCGGTTTAGCTTAAACAAATATATGGAATGTGGCCACAATTAGGTAAATAGTAATATTGGAAAGGAATAAATTGTGATAAGATTTTTGATACGCACCAATGTCCTTGCTCTGCTATACTTTTTTTTCCCTTGTGATCGACAAAGAAAAAAAAGATTGCTTGGATGATTAGAAGATGAAGAGACAACAAGTAACTTGCATAACTTATGTGTAAGCTCAGATAAGCGAAAAGAGCATCTGGAGTGAGTATTGAACTCATTTACCATGTCAACCGTATATGATTCTTAATAAATTCATGTATGTACATATGTGCGTATTGTGCTTAAATATACGGTTGATGTCACAAACGAGTTAAATGAATCACGTTTTTTTCTGTTCCGTTAGAAAATATACATATGGGAAAACGGAGAAATGTTCAAAGAAATGAATCATTCCTCGGGGAAATTCGTCTCATATTCTCTTAGACAAAATACACTCCTAGACTGAAATGGCAATGTTTACTCTAAGACAATTCTATGTATAATCCACCATGACTATCACCAGCAACTTCCCTACTGTGTAGTTTACTCGTTAACATGCTATCATCTATAGTTACTTGTATTCTTTGAACAGCATCTTGTTAGGTTTGTATATGTGTTATTGTTTAACTATTATGGCATCATATGCTTATATACTATCTTCAATTGAAATCTCATTATAATAGGATTAAAAGAATAATTGACAGAATATAAACAACTTTTATTTTGTATACATAGAAATTGTATAGTATATGTACATATAAAATAGTTCAAAAAGACAATATTTGCCAACAGTTGTAGTAGTTCATAAAGTTTGATTTATTTATTCCATATTACTTACTTAATTAACACTTCTTTCTATGCACAGAAATAGTGTTTAATCAGTTTAAATGTTCATGAAAAGGTCATCGATCTTTCTTCTTACTTTTGTTTTTTGAATGCATAAGCATACAATATTATGATTAGTTACTTATTCATTATAGAAAATTTTACCTTTAACAATAATATTAGCATTTATTATAGTCTTATAGTCTACCTTCAATTTATTAAGATCAAAGAGCATAGAATAGCGGTCAATACTTTCTATTCTCTCTCGTATGCTTACATGCACATGTCAACATCATCTATATATAATATGAGTGTGTACGTTCCTCAATCAAGCCTTGACCGTATGCGTAGTGATATCTTCGCGTTCGTTGACTACTACTATTACTTTTCTACTAATGGACAATTACTTTATGTTTATGGTCACACTTACCTATCGACACGAGCACACATCATCGACTGATTTGAAGAAGCCGAAAGAAGAAGGAAGTTAGGTAAGAAGACAAGAAAGACATTTGAAAGATGAGGTGTGAAGGATGATATAGGAGCAACACGTTATCAGTATGTATATATATACATATATATATATATATATATATCAATACATATTGATAAGAAACAATGAATAGGTGCCTCAATATTCTCGCATACATTGCATCATTATTACAACCACAACGACAACGATCTATTGATGCTGAGAAAGTAAAAAGAAAAAAAAGTCAATGTTCGGCTATCTTCATTTCGATTGTATACTAATTTGTACAACTAAAACTGATTTTTATCAAATCCATCATCTTGATGATTGTTGCGCTTCTTTCTTTTCTTTATTATACATATATATACGTATATTATACATTTTATTTCTTTCAATTGTTCATATTTAGTTGTCCGGACATTTTCATGTCAAAAAAGACAACTATAAGTGATTTTGTCATTCATTCTTTTTTGACATACGTACAAATTCTTATCGACTTTGAACTTTTTTCCCCTGTTCTCTCTCGTTTTAACTTCAGTACAATAAACGAAAGAGACGGCGATCAATAAGAATAGCCGTTCTTTCTCCTGTCCTCTTTTACCGGTTAGAACTTCCGTTTTCCGTTTGATTTCCTATTTTAACTATAGCAATTTTCTTAGTTTCTTTTGTAGATGATAAATCGAGATCGATTCGAGTCAAATAATGATAGTATTTTTCATTTATTGATTCATATAAAACAGTGAATATTAATTACAAATTTATGATGTTATTATATATTCTTATTTTTTCATCGTGTATGTCTTCGCTCTATTCATTTAACTATCAGACAGTTGAACATTGGAGATATTTAAGACAAGAAAAATTTACACATAAACCATCATATTTTGGTTATTCATTAGCTGTTCATCGATCAAGGTAAAATCTAGATAAATTGAATATTTATAGAAAATCTGTGTTTTTTTCTCTTCTAAAGTTTACTTGTCGGTGCACCTCGTGATCATTCTCCACATGATATTATACCAAGACGTGGTGCTGTATGGAAATGTCAATTTCATTCAGATACAATTTGTCAGCGTATGCCCTTTCGTCGTAA